CCGCCACGCCTGTGGCCCTCCCCGCCCCTTCCCCTCCGGGTCCGAGTGTGAGGCGCGCCCCCCTCCCCCCCCGGGGCCCCCCGATCCCCGGCTTTGCCACGCGCCACGTGCCCAGCTCACCTGCGGGCGGAAGCCTCGAACCTGCGGCCCCAGCCAGCCTCCCCGGGCCTGGCGAGGCCGCTCAGCCGTGCTGGGCCCGGCCGCAGCAGGCACTGGGAAGGCTGTGTGGGAAATCCAGGCGCGGGCTGTGTGACACCGGGTTGCCCACGGAGGTCGAGAACCTCAGACTTCTCCAAAAGCTCATTTGGTCACTTAGGAGACGATCACCAAGAGAAGTCAGGACAGGGGAAATGGAAGCAGTTCCATTTTAGCCACAGGGTTGTGGAGGAGAGCCAAGACCTGCACCGCCTGACCTTACGGTGATGTGGTATGTTAACCACGAGAGTACCGTTCTGTTTTGGTTCTGTATGTGTGCGTGCATTCCTGCCTGTACTGGGGGTTGAACTCAGGAACTGGGTGTTGCCCCTTAGATTTGCACTCAAAGCTGGCACTCTACTACTTGAGCTCTACCCCCACTTCTGGTTTGGTTGTTTTTGTTCTTGTTTTTTGGGGGGGCTTTTTTCTAGTTGACTGGAAATAAAGAGTCTCACAAAGCCTGGGCTGGCTTTGAATTGTGATTCTCAGATCTCAGCCTCCTGAGTAGCTAGGATTATAGGCATGAGCCACCAGTACCTGGCTTTTACTAACTCTGTCCTAAGAGTGACATTTCTTGCATCTCATTGCTGATCCCAAGAACTCTGGTAAAACATTCGCCTGTCTGCCTCTATTGTGTTTTAGGTGGCAGAGTCAGTGGAGAATAGACTTCAAGCAAGGGATCTTTTTTTTGGTAGATCTTGAACTCAGGGCTTGGGCTCTGTGTCCCTCCTGAACTCTTTTGTTCAAGTCGAGCACTCTACCAGAGCCACTTACGGTTTTTTTGAGTGGTTAATTGGAGATCAGAGTCTCACTGGGACCTTTCTGCTCTGGCTGGCTTTGAACCGAGATCCTAACATTTCAGAATCCCCAGTAGCTAGGATTACAGGTGTGAGCCACTGGCACCCGGCACGTGGTGATCTTTAACTTGTTGAGTTAATAGCCCATGACCAGTCCTTTGGTTTTGATCTTAATCTTCGTTGTTGTTGTTGTTTTCCTATCAGTTAAATGTAGCCTCTGGAGTGATCCTACCTTCCATTCGGAGCCTTCACTGCCAGGCAGCAGAACTGTGAGCTACAGTTAAGTAGAAATCAAGGAAGATGAGTTCTAGCATGAGCATGGGTGAACCAAGACTGAACTGGTGAGTGTGTCTCCTCCATAATCCACTGAAGAGTGAAGCAGGGCTGGTAACTGACCTGAGAAAGGGGAGGTTTCTGGTCTGGAGAGGTCTGGGAGAAACAGAAGATTAAACAGGATTTATTTATTTTCATTGTAACAGACTAAACACAATTGCGTTGTAGTTGACAAGTACTCCTCAAATAAAAAGTCAAGAATTGCTAGTTTACATTATTATAATAAACATTTCATACTGAGCCAGCCAAGGACACAAAGGTTACAAAAGGTTGTTTGGGGTTTTTGTGTGTTGGTTAGTACTGGGTCTTGAACCCATACTTTTGCTTGGCTGTTCCACTCAAGGCTAGTGCTCAGCCACTTGTGGCACATCTCTAACTTCTGGCTTTTTGCTGATAAGTTGAACATAAGACTCATGGATTTGTTTGCCCAGACTGGCTTTGAATTGAGATGATCGGATCTCAACTTCCTGAGTAGCAAGGCCACTTTCTCCCATCTTTAAAACATTTTTTAAAGTAGTTCCTGACTCAGAAAACATTAAACGGACCAGAAAACCGGAAGTGGCGCTGTGGCTCAAGTGGTAGAGCCCTCGCCTTGAGCTGAAGAGCTGAGGGACAGCGCCCAGGCCCAGAGTTCAAGCCCCACGACTGACCAAAAAAAAAAAGAAAACATTAAACGGCTATGTTCAATAATACTTGTTTATTGCTAGCTGCTCTCCCATCCCTAATAGAGTTCATAATTCCTGAAGGCTTCTACCTCGTTGTGGAATGATATATGGAAACCTTAGAAATTAATGAGATGCTATAGATTCAGTACCACTACAAAGTAATAAACTTTACAGCAATACACAGCAAATGCGAAATTCCAATTTTATTGTTAATACCTTAGTTATAGGTGTTTGTTTAGGAAGGGCCTTTAAAAACAAAGATGAGTTTGGGGAAATATGCTAGAATTTTCCACTGGGGGAAAGGGACAGGCAGAAACTGGGTTTGATTAGAGTGTCCTGTTGTAGTTTTAGAGGCATGCATATTTGTGTTTCTTATGAGTGCTACAAAGATACTTTTACATCTTACTGTGAAGCCAAACATGGTCTCGAGCCTTTGCACAATATCAAAGCCCTTGGAACTCTCCTTTTCCACAGAACTTCACTTATTGATGACCCCCGAGATGAATGGTTCTCAACATTTTCAATTTTTTTTATTCCTTCACCCAGTCTCAATTAGTTATCTTACAAATATATCCCTCTTCAGAGGCAATATTGGTAAAGTCACACTTTTTTATTTTTTCCTCATTGAACCTAGGAAAGCCAAGCTAATAAACTTAGGTAGGCTATTCAGTCTTTAGGCCTGGTTCAGTAATGTAAGCAACAGAAATCCATTGGGAAGTGTTTTCTTTTCAGCATGCAAACATGTTCAACACACACACACACGCATCCGTTGGGAACTGTTTTCAGCATGCAAACATGTACACACACACACACTCACACACGTTCGAGATAAGCCTTGTCTTTAACTCTCAAAGACCTTTATGCTTATTTAATTGAATACTACCCAATTAAAACAAGGGTGAATTTGGAGGGGGGGTATGGAGGGAATTCATAATTGGCCTGAAAGCTCCCAAGAAATATAACAATCTAAGCACCCAGATTGGGCACATGAAATCAAACCTATTAAGAGGTGATTATCTGGAAAATGGGGTTAGAGGGCGTGTAGCATACATTGTAGTTCTTTCATCTTGCTTCTGTGTCTGACGAGACTGGACTGTCAAATCACAAGTTCATTACTGTTTCACAGGGATGTTTCTCCCAAAAATGGCCTGAAGACATTTTTCTCCCAAGAAAACTATAAAGATCATTCCATGGCTCCAAGTTTAAAAGAACTGTTAACTTTATCTAGCAGGTAATATCTTCATTTATTTGGCAATTTTAATATGTAACTGTTGGAATTTGGTATCTGTCTATTATTAAACATTCTGTAGTTATAATGTGAAAAATAGAAGAAAGTACTGTTAACACTTTCTCCATTCAAGAACACTTATCCATATACACAAATATATACAAAGTAGAATCATAATTGTAAATACTGTAGAATGCTATAAACTATTTTCCTTTTTTCATTAATATTTATATTCCATTTATATTCATAGTTTCCATTTATTTCCATATATACATATATGCACAAAATAGAAAATGAGCACATAAATATATAATATATATACACATGTACATCAATATTTTATTTCCAGTCTTACTTCTGTATGGATGTATTTTTAATTAATTCAGCTAGTCTTTTGTGTATGTGCTCTCTTAGACATTGCTGCTTGCAATAACAATATAAAGTTTTTACTTCATCCCTTATCTCTCCACAAAAAGGCATTTAGCCTTCAATTTTCAACATAAAACACATTCCTTTGACTGCATTCCATACATGTTTATAAACAAAGGGACCAGTAGAACTGTGTTTTTACACGTGAACAAAGTGAAAAGTTGATATGCTATTAAATTTTTCTGTGAAATATTTAAAAAAATGAAAAGTTTTATGTAACAATAAATGAGAAAACTCATGTATCCTTTGAGCCATTCACGTAGAAATAGCCACTATAAAGATTTGCTTCTATTTAAAGGTTCTGGTCGTAGATATTTATGATTGAGTTTTAAGTCTATTTGGGGAAAGTAGTTTTTTTTCATTTGTTTGTTCATTTGTGTGTTTTTTTTTTTTTTTTGTGCTGGTGCCTAGGACTTGAGCTCCAGGACTGGGCATGTCCCTTAGATTCTTCTCTCAGGTCTAGCATTATACCACTTGAGCCACACCTCTACCTCTGGCTTTTTGGTTATTAATTGGAGATAAAGTTTCAGACTTCACTGCCCTGGCTGCCTTTGAACCTTGATCCTCAGATCTCAGCCTTCTGAGTAGCAAGGATTACAGGTGTGAGCCACTGGTGCCTGGTGAAAGAAAATACCTTTAAAAACAAAACCCCTTTAACCCATTTAATATCTAAAGCAAACTGAACAGGGAGATTTGAGAGAGCCCAAACTTACCATTTCCAAATGCTTCTTTTTAAAGAGACTAGCAAACCAGTAGATATAGTATAGTAAGAGATCCTGCTTCCCCCCCCCCCCATAGAAAACTTTAAGTAAAAAACATTGACAAAATGAAGGGAGGAAACTTCAAACTATCAGCTAGAATAAAATACAATGTTGTAACTGTGGATAGAGAAACCCTGTCAGATGCTTTTGCTTTGCACCTGATGAAGATTTTGACAGCACTGCACTTGGAAATGGTCTTGATTCCAGTCTTTGCTGAATGTAGCCAATTTAAGCCGCTAGATTTCTTGACATTCCTACGGTGGCATATCTGAGTCAGCATCTTGTTGCTGCAGCAGCTTAATTAAATTTGCCAGTGTGTGCCAGGAGGACAGGCATGTTCTCATATTCAGAGAGACAGCTGGGAGGCAGAATTGTTAAGAGCTACGGACACAATACCGTTAGGTTTGAATAGCTCTCCAGACATTTCCGAGTGAGAAATCAATTTGCTGGAATACATTTCTCCCAAGATCAGCAGTTAATATTCATTGTGTTAACCTAAAATGTGCTTATTTTTATACAGTTATTGCAGAAACTTTCATAGCTGTATATATGTCTTTCTCCTGTATTTTCCAAATCAACCTGAGCTTCCTAACTTTAATTTCCAAAATTATTTTCCCATTAACTGATCAGCTCTTTTGATTAGTTTTTCCATTCATGTTTGAGCCCTAAGAAAGTTGTCAATATTTTGTTTTATTATGGAGGTCTAAATCTTCTTCTGAAGTAACTTGGCAAATTTTGGAATTTTTACCAGAAGAGTATTACAAAGTTGATTTAAAAGAAATTATTATTAGCAGCCAGATGCTCACAATTGTAATCCTAGCTACTCAAAAGGCTGAGATCTGAGAATCATGGTTCAAAACTAGTCTAGGCAGAAAAGTCTTTGAGACTCTTATCTCCGATTAACCACATAAAAGAGGGAAGTGGATATGTGGGCAAAATCCTACAGTATCGGCCTTGAGTAGACAAGACCTGATCATGATCATGAGGCCCTGAATTCACATCCTGCACATACAGAAATACACACATGAAAGTGAAATGAAAGGAAAATGATTTATACCTGATTTTAATATGTAAATACATAGACACTGCTCCATTAGAAATACTGATGCAGTGAGATGCAGCAGTTATTATTGAAGGGCGGAGCTTGGTGCTCTACCACTGACGATGGTGATAATGGTGGTGTCGTGGTAGTGATAGTGGTGGGACTTAAATCTTAAAGAGGGACTGACTGACTGACGGATGGGGGTGATGATGATGGAGAAAGGAGCAGGTAGGTATGGGTAAAGAGGATCTGAGTGTGATGTATATGTATGTATGTATGTACTTGTATATGCATATGGAGATAGCACAATGAAACCCACCAAACCCTGTTTAAAAAGTGGAGAAGGAAGGGAGGACTGAAGAGAAGATAATAGAGGATGAACTTGTTCAAAGTACACTGTGCGTCTACAGAGTTACCACAATGAAGCCTACTTGTCCTATAAACGTCTGCTAATGAAAATAGTGGTTTTTTAAGTGTTGTAATAATATGCAAATACAAACATAAGGGCAAGAATGGCTTCCCACTCTTACTGAAAGGAAAAAAAAACCTATCAGCTGAATAGCTAGTGTAAGTTTCCCCTCTTCTTCTAGTCAGTCAGGTAGTGGAAGGTGAGTTTACACTGTGACCCTTTCCTCCAAAAGACTTAGTCAGCACCGCATGACTGTCATCAAACCCAGGTGGCAGAGCTGGGTAACAATCCAGAGTTTATTTTACTCTGTTAATCAACTGCATTCTCCCTTCTGATTGAGAGCCGGGAAGTTCCTTGAGAGTAATCTTCATGGGAAAAGCACTGTAAATTATTGATTTTTTTTTCCAGACGTATAGGAGAAAATCTGAATGCCTCAGCAAATTCTATGGAAAGTGAGCCGACAGTTAGTTCAGCACCTCAAACAAAGGAGAAAGTTGGAATGGTTCTTCTTCCAAAACCAAGAGTTCCCTACCCTCGTTTCTCCCGCTTCTCACAGAGAGAGCAGAGGACTTATGTGGATTTATTAGTTAAATATGCAAAGATTCCAGCAAATTCCAACACCGTTGGTATAAACAAAAGTGAATATTTGCAGTATTTGGTATGTATTCTATTCTTCAGATATGGTTAAATCTACTGAAAATGGGAAGTATTTTCTTTTTTTTTTTTTTTTTTTTTATAAATATGTTTCTTTTTAATAATTTTTTTCTTGGGTCTGGTCATGGGGCCTGAACTCTGGGCCTGGGCGCTGTCCCTCAACTTTTCAGCTCAAGGTTAGTGCTCTACCACTTGAGCCACAGCGCCACTTCCAGTCTTTTTCTTATGTGGTGCTGAGGAATCGAACCCAGGGCCTCAAGCATGCAAGGCAAGCGCTCTACCACTGAGCTACCTTCCCAGCCCTGAAAATGGGAAGTATTTTCATCTTAAATTTTCTTTTATTATTTTAGGTGCAGTCATATTTACAAAAATGGAAAAGTAGGGAGTTTGATAGAGAAGTAGTACTTTTAATTCATTGGTTGGTTCTATTATGTATCATTTAGACATTTGTTCCACTTCTGGGCTTGTCTGTCCAGCTCAATGTAAATAACTTACAATAGTTCTTCACAAAGTGCATTGTAACAATTTTAAGGTTTTTGTTTTCTTTTGGTGCTGATATTGATACCAGGACTTAAAATCAGCCTTGGCTTTCCCTTTGGTTTTTCACTCGAGGTTGACACTCATCACTTGAGCCACACCTCTACTTCCAGCTTTTTGCTAGTTAATTGGAGAGTCTCAAGGACTTTTCTAGCTGAATTAGCTTCGAACTTTGATCCTCAGATCTCAGCTTCCCAAGTTGCTAGGATTTATAGAGTTGAGCCACCTGTACCCATCAAAATTTTTATTTATTAATTACTATAAATTTTCTAAATTCTGAATTATAAATAAATGATGCTATGCTGAACATCTAAATATATATACACTCATGATTGTTTCTTTAAGATAAATTCTTTAAAATGGCCATGTCAGACACCATGCATTTTTTATTTATTTTTTTTTTTTGTCGGCCGTGGGGCTTGAACTCTGGGCCTGGGCGCTGTCCCTCAGCTCTTCAGCTCAAGGCGAGCGCTCTACCACTTGAGCTACAGGGCCATTTCCGTTTTCTGGTGGTTTATTGGAGATAGGAGTCTCACGGTCTCTCCTGCCTGGGCTGGCTTTGAACCGTGATCCTCAGATCTCAGCCTCCTGAGTAGCTAGGATCATAGGTGTGAGCCACCAGTGCCCGGCACCATGCATGTTTTTAAAGCTGTTTTAAAGCACTATTTGGTGAAGTAGTATTTTATAACTATTTTCACTAATAATTGATTTATCCTTTTTTGCCTCTAATTGGATATGGGGGAAATGGTGATTTCTTATTTAGTCTTAATTTAATTTGCACTGCTTGCTAATAAAAATAAGCATTTTTCATGTGTTTAAACTATTTTTTTTCGTCTTTTATAACATGCCTATTCATGATGATTCAGTCACTCATTTTTCTATTAGGGATATAAACTAGTACCTTGTGCATACTGACCAAGTGCTCTACCATTGAGCTACATTCCTGCCTCCTTCACTTTCTTTTAAATACTAAAATAAATTTGTGAAATCCTAATCATGTATTGTAGTATTGCATATTTAGTTTTCTATTTTGTTTTTTGGAACTTTTTTAAGTGTTCATATTTGGTGTGTGTGTGTATGTGTGTGTGTGGTTAGGGATTAAGTCAAGTGCTTCATATGTGTTCAGCTTATACAAAGCTTATTCTCTGCCACTAACCTCCAGTCCCTGGAATTTTTAATAAAAGATACTTATCATTATTATATAGCAATTTTTACTAACTTCTTTTGGGGCTTTGCTTTGGTTTGCTTCTTAAATTTTTTTGTAAGTCCAAGTCATTAGAACAGTAGTTGAGAAGTGGGGTTTTTTTGTTTGTTTATTTTTTATGGAACTTCTTTTTCCAAGACATGTCTACTCTTTCACAAATCAGGACATGAAAAAGCATGTGAATGAAGAAGTGACTGAATTCCTGAAGTTTTTGCAGAACTCTGCGAAGAAGTGTGCGCAGGATTATAATATGCTTTCTGATGATGCCCGTCTTTTCACAGAGGTAAACAAAATTCATTTATGCCACTGCCACGTGACAGGCAGCAGCATTTTAAACTATGACCATCCTGCCCCAAATACAGGGAACTATAAATATGATCAGTTTAGACACGATACATGTAGCCCCTTGATTCTTAGTGGGTTGAAATCATAGAAATAATAGCATCTCAAAATTGTGTACTGGAGTATGTTTATTTTGGTATGTTTATAAAAGTGCCTTTCCCTTTATGTACATGCCTATAATAAAGTCTGTAAATTAGGAACAGTAAGAGTATAATAATAACAATCATACTCAGAAAACTTACATGAATACAGGATCCTTTACTGCTGCATTCCATCCTTCCTGTGTTGATATGATGTGATACAGAGCCTGTATGATAAGAAAATTGAGGTGAACAAGGTATGCAGCTGACTACTATTGGCTGAACTTTACAGTACCACAGTGGTCCCTCTGTTAAGTGAAATGGGCATTCAGTGACTGTGGGCAGCAGCCACAGTGTGGGTATGCTGGACAAAGGGGTCATTTCCATCCTGAGCGAGATGAGCTGGATATCCTGAGATTTTACCGTGCTACACAAAACAAGGCACAACTTATTGGAACTTACAAATGCTTATTTCTGGAATTTTCCATTGAGTATTTTCAGTTGTTGGTTGATGTCAAGTAACAAAAGTGAAACAACAGGTAAAGTGAGAGACACTGTACTTTAGATAGTGTATTATCAGAGAATAGGTGTGAAGCCCATAGATTCTCCTTTCTTCGTATGTACTGAATTGCATGGAATCCATTACAAAGCACTGTAATGGTCATCACTCCCAAGAGTGATGTGACAATAACTTTGTGAGCAGAATAGCCCCTGTCCCTTAGTTATGCTTCCCTTTGCATGCACATATCCTGGTAATGACTACCACATGAGGGGACCATTATTAGAAGTGGAATCAATTAGTATCACAAGTTCTTTGGGGTTTTTCTGGTGTTTTTGGATTTTCTGTAATGTGTGTGTGCAGTCCTGGGGCTTGAACTCAGTACTTAGGTGCTGTCCCTTAGCTTCTTTTGCTTTAAGCCACAGCTCTTCTTTTTTTAATAGATTATTGAAATGAGAATCTCATGGACTTTCCTGCCTAGGTTGGCTTCGATCTTCAGACCTCAGCCTCCTTAGTAGCTAAGGATTATAGGCGAGAACTAGCAGAGCCTAGCTAGTATTGGGGTTTTGAACTTGGGGTTTCATGTTTGCTAGCCAGGCTGGACCATGTGAGTCCAGCCTCCAGCCCACTTAGACAAATAAGGATCAAAACTATTATGCAGATATGAGCTTGTCATTGTCTAAGGTTTTTATATGCACAAGTCTCCATTAGTATGATACCCTCAATCACATTGGAAATTGTAGATGAAGGGAGCAAAATGTAAAAGATATTAAGGCATAAGGACTGAAAAAGGGGGAGAGGGAAATACAAACCTAGAGCTAAAATATATCCTCAAGTTACTGATCTGTAACAAGATATTTTACAAATATCTGAAAGGAGAGGGGGTATATATTATAAAGGTATACTTATTTCCATGCTTTTGCAATCCAAAATATATTCTCAAAGGTTAAGATAACATTCGTTGAAAAAAAAGGTATCTTAGAAGATAATGTATGCTTTAATTATTAGGCTTTTCCTAGTTGTTTGCTTGTTATCACAATTGAAATATAATTCGTGGTAAAACTGAATAGTATGTCCTTCCTGTTTAGTCATTAATATTTCGAAAACTGAAGAGAAGGGAACACTGAGTGCTTCATCATTTGAATTAGCTATAACATTTCTCCTTTATCTTTTTAGATTGTAAATTACAATGACCTCTAAGAACACTACTACTTTGTTAATTCACTCTAGTTGGGAACCTTTATAGAATATTAAACATACTTATTTCTAATCATTCATGTAATTGCTTTCAGTGCAGTACATTGTGTTGAAATTTTCATGTGGCTTTATTTCTTGGACAGTTTCTTAAATAGAGTGGAAAATATGACATGTCTCCTGTAACTTTAAACTTTAATAAGACTGCTAATTTTAGTATGATTAAGTGCCAGTATTTTAGGAAATTAGGTTAAAAATTTGTTATGAAAACTAACAGATGAAATCAAATAAGCAGCATATAATATGTGAGGACTGTTAAAAGCCTGACTAATGGAATGGAACTATCTTTTGCAGTGACCCAATATATAGTCACATGTAACTAAAATATTTTGTGGCATTACTAGAGGAATACAATACTAATGAGTTTTTTCTTACTTTTTGTTTCCTAGCAAATTTTAAGAGCTTGCATTGAGCAAGTAAAGAAGTACCCAGAATTTTTTTCTCTTCATGAAGTTACCAGCTTAATGGGATTCTTCCCATTCAGAACCGAGATAGGATTGAAATTAGAAAAAACCCTTCTTGTGTTGGTAAGGTCATCATATTGAAAGTGTAGGGTATTGGGGCTCAAACATCATCTATGTTTCATATTCATATTGTTAAATTTTGAGTAATAATGAGGTAACCTTTTGAATTTGTAACACAAATCTTTTTTTTATGGAAACAAAGATTTGGTGTTTGAAAAAACACAATAGCATCACTCATTTCTCCATTTTCCTTAATGCTCCAGAGTATAAACAGAAAGCTCTTTTTATTTTTGTTTATTTTATGCCAGTACTGGGGCTTGAACTTAGCTTGGGCGATGTACCTTAGCTTTTCTGCTCCACTTCCAGCCTTTTGTTGGTTAACTGGAGATAAGAGAAATTAAGAATCTCACAGACTTTGCTGTCCTGGCTGGCTTCAAGCCTCAATCTTCAGATCTCAGCCTCCTAAGTAGCTAAGATTACAGGTGTGAACCACCAGTGCCCAACAGGAAGATTTTTTTTGTTTTTGTTTTAAAGAAATTTGCTCACAGACATAGTAGAATTGTGTAGAAAGACTATTTTTGTTTCCATTGTCTCCTTTTGATTAATGCTTCATATAAAGAGAAAATGGAATTGCATGCAAAATTCCATGAAACCCTTCTCTTGGACTTTGAAAAAGATCACAACAAAAACACTCTTGTAGTTGTTGTGAGCCAAAAACATGAATGAATATCTTGGCTTAAAGAAAGGTTCTAAATTTGACATCTGAATCTAGTAGAATGATGAGTTTTAGTTAAGGATTTCCTACAATGAAATTTACTGTTTTTAGGGGGAAAATAAATTAGGATTTTTGTAACAGTGCATTCTTTTTTTGTTGTTGTTTATTTAGGGCAATGTAAAATTTGTGAAAACAGTATTTCCTTCAATGCCAGCAAAGTTATATCTCTCAAAAGATGATATGTCTTCCACAGAAATACCAAAACAAATCGCTGAAGCTATGCACTCGGTAAGTATTTAAATGGCCTTTGGTATTCCACAGGGATCTCTGCCTCTGCAGACCCAGCCTGAGGGTTCCCAAGTCCCTATGTGGTTTTTCTCCCTTCTTTTCATTTACTTCATCTAATACATTTAAATGAGTGCAACAAAGTAACCACTTGTTTTTCAGGATATCAGTAAAGATCCAAATGCTGAGAAGCTTGTTTCAAGGTACCATCCTCAGATCGCTCTCACTAGTCAATCATTATTTACATTACTAAACAACCATGGACCAAGCTACAAGGAACAGTGGGAAATTCCAGTATGTGTTCAACTAGTGCCTGTTGCAGGTTTGTGGAGTTTTAGTGTCAAGTAATGCTCTCTTGTGTTAAGACAGTCCATTTTTAGCTATCCAAATAGAAATGGTCATTTGTCAGACTCACGAATGAAATCTTAATTTAAGGAGAATGTAAAGTTGATATTTAAGCTCAAGAGTTTTTAAAAATGAAAGGTATAGTAAAATTGACTCCTGAATGAAGTTTAGATCTGTAGCACCTGGAGGGAGAGAGAAAAAGTAATTGTGAGTTAGTGTGGCCAGACCACATGAAATAATGAGAGGCTAATGTCTTTTGCTGGACCAAAGGAATGCAGTACTACTTCAGTGGGTGAGTTTCTAGGACTTATTTCCTTGTCTGTTAAAGGAAATCAGAATTAATGTAAGTCTATGTTTGTAATCAGCTAAATAGTCTCTCCTTTGACAATAAAATTAATGTTTGCACATTATTTCCTCTACTCAAGACTATCCCTCCCCATTGTTATGGATTATATTTATTTTATGCGGCTTTTACGTTCAATTTTGTTAAATATAACATCACAAATAACAATAAGTGAAAAACTAATGAAACAGAAGTACAAATTAGACTTAAATGTAATGTGTTCTCTGTGGTAAGAATTTCATCACAAATAATGAGTATATTGATGAAAACTAGAAAACCCTTTTTACCCACTGTTAGAAAGGAACTCTTGCTACTTAGGTTTTCTCAATTAAATCTCTAAAGGATTTGAAAATCCTCTCATCCAAGAACAGCAAACAAGAGACATGTGCAACATTCCTTATCCAATGTGTCTGTTTATTGATCCTTCTGCTTTGTTTTTTTGTTTTTAATCAAAGTACCTGGAGGTAGGTCTGGTGGGTATATATTTGTAATGCTAGCTCCTCAGGAGGTCAAAGCAGGAGGATTATTAGTTCAAGTCCAGCCCAGGCAAAGTTAGCAAGTTCCTATCTCAGCAAACAAAATATGAACAAAAGACGAGAGCTATGTTTACGTGGTAATGCGCGAGGCCTTGAGTTTTTACCACTATGGTAAAAATAAAAACAAGAAAAAAACTACTAAATACTAATTACACCTTTGCTTCTGTTTCTACTTTAAGGTTCCAAACCAGTTAAAGTCATTTATATTAATTCACCACTTCCCTCAAAGCAAATGACAACGAGAGAGAGAAATCAAATCTTTCATGAAGTTCCATTAAAATGTATGATGTCCAAAAACACGTCAGTTCCAGTCTCTGCAGTATTCATGGACAAACCTGAAGAGTCTGTGCCTGAGATGGACGTATGTAATGCTATTCTCCTCCCTCAGGAGAATGGACTTGTTTATCTTTTTGAGACATAAGGTTTTCTTGAAAGTCTCTGAACTTAGGTAGAAATTCTGTCTTTAGAATACAGTTTGCATGTACCAAAACGTTATGTGGTCCACTGCTGATATGATAGTTCTGATGTTGCACTTAAAAATGGATCTAGTTTTTTTAAATGGGAAAATGATCTGAATAGACATTTCTCAGAACAAAATGTACAGACAGCTGACAAGTATATGAAAAATGTTCACTATCATTAATCATCAGGGAAATGCAACCAAACCACAATGACATGACATCTCCTCTTGATTAGGATAGATGTAATCAAAGAGACCAATGCTGGTGAGGGTACAGTAAATCAGTACAACCCTAGTGGAAAACAGTATGGAGGTCCCTCAAAAAATGAGAAATAGGACTACCAGGGGATCCAGCAATCCCACTCTTCAATGTACATATTTCAAAAAGATAAAAGAAACAAAGGAGATACCTGAACTCCTGTATTACTTGCAGAGTAGCAAAGATATGGAATCCAAGTGTCCACTAATGGATAAAGAAAACGTGGTCTATCAATACAATAGAGTACTATTGGACCTTTAAGAAGAAGGAAATCCTCTCATTTGCAACACCATGGACATAACTGCAGATCAAAATATTTAGTGATCTAAGGCAGTTATGTACAAAGGAAGGATGCATGGTTTCACTTCTGTGAAATCTAAAACAGCTAACCTCATGGAGATAAAAAGCAGAATTGTAGCCAGATGCCGGTGGCTCATTCCTGTAATCCTAGCTACTCAGGAAGCTGAGATCTGAGGATTGCGGTTCAAAGCCAGGCAGTAAAGTCCATGAGACTATTATCTCCAATAAACTACCAGAAAACTGGAAGTGGCACTGTGGCTCAAGTGGTAGAGCACTAGCCTTGAGCTGAAGGACAGCCTCCAGGCCCAGAATTCAAGCCCCACGACCAACCAAAAAAAAAAAAAAAAGCAGAAATGTGGTTATCAGAGGTTAAGCAGTGGGGGTTGGGAAACATTGCATCATCAGTAAAAAGTCTGGAAAGTCAGGAGACGTAAATTCTGGGTTAGGAGATGTAAGTTCTGCTGATCTGTTATGGAGAAAAGAGACTGTAGCTACAGTTCTGAACAATGAGAAGAGAGTAATAATTTAATTATTTCATAACGAAGACATGATACACGGTTGAAATGATGGATAACCTTTGTGTCCTTAGTGATCACTACACAGTGCATATAAATGTACACCAAATGTACCAAATGTTAACTGCAAAAAAAACCCAAAAAGCAAATTCTCATTTCATCAAGCCTACATATGTCATCTATGAAGTGTATGTTGCACAGCTATAAAATATTTGGTTATGTTCCAAAGACTTATCCCAATGTCAAATCCTAGAATGACTTACAAAGGTCACAAAATGAGACCAACTAGGTAACAGATCCATTTTCTCAAAGGTTACAAATGTGGACTTTTTGAAAGCTTAAAAACAAATGTGGTTAATTATTTGTTTTAAAAAAATGTTTCTACCTGCATGTACAAATCTCACTATGTTTAAGTACCACTGGGGGACCGAGTAGCAATAGATGTCTGTCTGTAGACTAGAGCGCCCTCAGTCCTGAGGTCTGGGTGAATGTGATTGTACTTTTACAAATAAACACCGATGCAAAAGACTTCTCAGTCTTTACATTCAAACTTAAAATGGACTTTGAACTCCACAAGCCTTAGTTTTTTCCTTTTCTTTCCACAAATGAAAAGCTGAACAATACCTACTTGACTTGGTTATCATGAGCCTTAACTGCACAGTTGTAACCCTTAAAGTGTGCAAGCAGTTGTTTGTAGCATGGGTGTTAACAGTTCTGTGATGTGGTGATCTTGGTGGTGACTAATATGCGGTTTTAATTTGCTCTTATCCAAGAGTTCTTAAGTATGAAAAGGAACCAGTGAGTTTCATTGGTATAGAGAGTATTTGGCCAGATTGTTAACATTGTTCAGTATACGTATCAACATCAGCTGATGATATAATCTCTCTGTTTAGTTTACTCATCTGTAAGATGGGCATCATAGCAACTAACGTGGTTGTTTGGTTTTAAATGAGTTAATATGTGTAAAGCATTAGAATAATACTCGGTACTGTATGAATATCTGCTTTAACTTTGTGTATTTTAAAATATCTTCAATATGGTTATTAAAGTGAAGTATTCCTTTTATAGAAAACCATTCGTTCCACAAATTTTTATTGAGTGGAGATTCTTTTCTATTTACTGAGGATACAGCCATGAATATCAGAATACAAAGTCTCAGAGCTTGCATTAATATTAGAGGACATTAAATAAGCAGCACCAAAACAAAAAACAAACCAACAGCCCTCCTCCACTCATCCCCCTCCCCCAAAAAATCGTGATAAATGTTGTAGAGAAAAGTAGACTAAGCAAAGGAAACTGAGATGAATGGAGATGGGCTCTTATAATCATGACGAAGAAGGCCTGAGGATAGGACATGCAAGCGAAACCTTGAAGAAGTAAAGGAATGAAATTTAAGAATAAAGATAGGTACTGGTGGCTCACAACTATAACCCTAGCTACTCAGGAGGCTGAGATCCAAGGATTGTGATTCCATGCCAACCTGGGGAGGAAAGTCCATGAGACTCTTTTATCTCCAATAAACTACTCAAAAGCCAGAAATGGCGCTGTGGCTCAAGTGGTAGAATGCTAGCCCTGAACACAGAGATGCTCAGGGACAGCGCTCAGGCCCTGAGTTCAAGTCCCAGGATCAGCCAAAAAACAAAAAAAAGGAAGAAAAAAGAGAATAAATAAATATGACAGTGTTTTTCTTCCACTTCCTTAAGGAAGTTTTAAGGATAATCTCTGACTCTTACATCTGTTTATATGTTTTTCTCTGTTTGCCATTTTCCTCAATAGTTTTACAATGTGTATGTCATAAGGCCCTTTCAAATTCTTATGTTTTCTTCTTTTACATCTGACTTTTGCAAATGGGTTCAAGACTTCTGTTGGTGGTAGGTGAGTGTCGGGAAGTAACAAATGCTACAGAGGCACATAAATTAGGTTCAGAGGGATAGAAAGTGGCAGTAACCTGTTACTAAAGGTAATCTAGACTCTCCCATTACTGCTGGCAATTAAGGAAAATATTTCTGGAGGAAAATATACACATTTTTTACAAGCATCAAAATGCAGATAAGAGAAATCACAGGATTGAGATCCCAGAAAGACAGGAATGTAGGAGATAAGCCTGTCACTTAGGGTCATCCTGGATGGTATTCACCAATTCTGAAGAAGCAACTGAGCAATAAGCTGTGCTTTTGGCAGATCATGAGACTAGGGGACCAAGAGTTACGCTGCAGTTTTTAATCAACAGCTTGGAACCCACAGAGCTACACCCCAGGAGTCATGGGGAACCAAAAGCCAATCAGTTTTCTCAAATATCTGTAATCTGACTTTGGGGACATATGTATTATTTTGGAGTAAGATACTCTGGACTGCTAGGATCTCCACCAGACTCTAGCAAAAGTAAGTGAACTAATGTATAGAGGAAGGCAATGCCATACCAGGCCTCATGTGATGATGCTTAATGCCTAGCAGTCTCACTTTTGTTGCTTGGTGTTTTGGAATGATCATTTTTTATTTCTTTCATCCAGTAGATCAGAATGCTTTTTTGATATCTAAGTGCTTGGGTTTGTGTTTAAATTTTCTTAATGATTTCTAATTTTATTTCCTTCAAAACAGTAAGACCTTAGCAGATTCTACCTTGCACTATGTTGAGATTTTGTTTGTCTATTGACTTTAGTCCATTTTGGAAATTCCCCCTCTCCCACCCTCCCCACCCCCGTGGATTCTTGGGAGGGAAAAAATGTATCTTTGTAATCTGTGTGTATTACGTATGTGTGTTTTTTGGTCATTCATTTGATTAATATCATTTTTGCTTTCTATATCCCTAATTATTTTTGTCTACTCAGAGACTATGTCAATGGCCAAGTACACGTTGTGTGTCTGGCACAATATCCTCTTACTTTTGAAGTGTCTCCTTTGCTCTTGGTATTTGGTGTGTCATGGTTCATGACCATTATCTGTTGGTCTTAGATTCTATCATTTTTTCAACGTAGCCTTTCTCCTGTTGCTGTCTAGTGCCTTTGCATTCACTTCATTGTTATTCTTCCTCTTTTTGTTTCTTGGTGTCATGTCCAGTTATTTTTGTTTATTTAATTTTTTGGTAAGCCAGGCATCAGTGGCTCACACCTGTATTCCTAACTACTCAGGCTGAGATCTGAGGATCACAGTTCAAAGCCAGCCTAGGCAGGAAACTCTGTGAGACTCTTATCTCCAATAAACCACCAGAAAACTGGAAGTGGTGCTGTGGCTCGAGTGGTAGAACGCTAGCCTTGAGCTGAAGAGCTCAGGGACAGCGCCCAGGCCCAGAGTTCAAGCCCCACAAGCAACCAAAAAAAAAAATTTTTTTTTGTGATACCAGGGTTTGAACTCAGCCTCAAGCTGACTCTACCACTGAGCCACACTCGACCCCTGGTGCTTTGTCTATAACTCTGTGTGTAGCAATGCCCTCTTGTAAGCAGTGTTTAACTTCACTTCTGTACTAAATTTGCTATTGTTATTTTTAGTAAGAGCTGCCATTTAATGAGAGACTACTTCCTAAGTGCCAGGCACTATGCCAAGAAATAGAAGTAAATATATTCTTCTATGTATTTTCTCATTTAATCTTTAGAACAAATCCGAAACGTCATCCTACTTATCCCTACATTAGAGATGGGAAATTTGGAGCTCAGAGAGGTTCAGGAACAGAACATAGATTGATCTTTCTGATTGTTGAATCTTTCTCCCAAATCCTAAACTGACAGATTAGTGATATACATAGCCTATAACCGGATTTCGATGGTATTAGCTACACTACAGTGTTCTGCCAGATTGAGGGGACTAGGAGAACCTAGTACTTTTCTGTCAGCTGGGGAAGAGATTTTTTTATATGTACATATATATCCCTGAATAAAGCAGTTGACTAGTTCTTCCATTACTAACACAGCATATGAGAAACTCCAACTTCAAGGATTTCATGTCCTAGAATACAATAAAACACTTTCTGTCCAGTTCTGTCCAGTCTTGTATTACTCAGAGTTGTTTTCCCTGAGTACATGTGGGAAGAATGTCACCGAATGCTATTTCCTCAAAGCAACTAACAGACTTTCCTCTGTATCAGCTAAGTGCAAGTGTCTCCCCGGGTGTATAAAGTAGTAGTCATCCGCTGCCTTCCTGTTTGTCCCTTGATGTCCCTATATTTCTTCTTCTTGATGGTCCTATCTATTTTGTGACAAGTGGAAATTCCTCTTGGAATGTGGTAGTTCAAAGTGTACTCTTTCCTAGGCTGGTACAACTTGGTAAATTTGTCTTGTGTTCCTGGACATATCAAAAGGAAAATGGGCTAAATAATGGCTCATGGTTTATTGTCATCTTAAGCAACAATCTTTTAGAGCCATTAGACATTTTTGTCTATTTTTTTAAAATATGAGAAATAAATAGGAACATTAAGAGATAGGTGAGATATGGCCAGAAATTTTTACTAATGATTTGCCAATATATTTTCTTCTAAGACATCCAGTGAAGTTAACGAGTGCCGAAAAATTGAGACTCATGAAAATTTGGATCTGAATTTTGATGAAGATGTCACAGAACTTGAAACCTTTGGAGTAACCACCACCAAACCACCAAAGTCACCAATTCCAGCCAGTACTTCCACGGAATCCATCATGACAGATACTCCTGCTGCTGCCAAAGCAGCACCTCTGCCTGTGGCTCCTGCTACACCAGATATTGCTACTAGTTCTAGGAGCTTGGCTCAGATTCTAATGGAACAGTTGAAGAAAGAGAAACAACTGGTAACTGGTATGGAAAGTGGTCCCGAAGAGGGCAAAGATAAAGACAATCAAAGCCTCACACCATGTGGTAAACAGGTGTCCAGTTCCGACAAGGCTTTGATGCCAGATAAGGGCATGGAAACATCTGATAGCTTACCGTTGCAAAGTTCTAGAGAAACTAAAAACTCATCTGAAAATGGAATGGCCACAGATACACTGTGTGCTGATGATAAAAGACTAAATGTTGTAGATAGCACAGACAATTCAAAAGACAAGGCTACTACATCAGAAGCAGGTAGTGCTGAGAAAGTAGTTCCTTGCAGTAGTGATACCGATGAGGACTGCCTAGTGATTGACACAGAGTGTAAAGGTGATCGTGATGGAAAGAAAGCTGTTGTGGGTTCTACTTTAAATTCTGGACCAGTAAATTCAGATTCTTCCCCAGGACAGGCTTCTGTAGGAAACCACACAACTTCTAATCCTGAAGACTCCTGTGTTTTAAAAAAACCTATCAAAAGAGTATATAAAAAATTTGATCCAGTGGGAGAAATTTTAAAAATGCAAGATGAGCTCTTAAAGCCAATTTCCAGAAAAGTACCAGAGTTGAACTTAACGAACGCAGATGATTCAAAACAATCACTTCTGTCTGAGCAAACCTCTGCTCCTTCAGATGCCTCTGGTTGGCCAAAGTCTGGATGGCCTTCTGCGTTCCAGAAGCCAAAAGGACGTAAGTAAATCTTTATGAAGAACTGAAGCTGTTTTATCTGTTCTTTTTCCTTGGTTCTAATTCTTTGTCATTCTCTCGCATTCTCTGTGTTAAAATCTGTTTGATTACCTTTACCTATCGATTGATGTTTCAATCTATTGATCCATATTTCCGGTTCCACAGTGTCTCCTCTCTATAGGTGGCCAAGAGAGTATAGGTTTTGTAACTTAAGTTTATTCAGTATGCACAGTGGCCAGTAAGCTATGTCAAGCTGGTAAAGGGGAAGTCCATAAAAAGTAATCATAAACATCGATGGGTCCGAAATTTACTTATGCTCTATGTGGAACTAGTTTTGTACTTCTTAGTTTTGTGAAATAAATGTAAATCTCCTTAGCTTTGCCTAGATTAAAATTACATCACTTTTTAATAACCTTGCTTCTTAAACTGTTTTTCTTCTCAAGTGACATTATTCTCTCTTTATGTTTTGTCTAAAGTTACTGAAAGTAAGTAAAAAGGAAAAGCTGGTTTAAGCTGAATATGGCAGTACATTCCTATAATCAAAACACTCAGGAAGCCAAGGTAGAAAGACTACATTCAAAACCACCCTGGACCACATAGCAAGATCCTGTCTCAAAAAAAAAAAAAAGTTGACAAAAGTTTTAGAAAATAGTTGAGGGCTGGGAAGGTAACTCCATGGTAGAGTGCTTGCCTTGCATGCACGAGGCCCTGGGTTCAATTCCTCAGCACCACATAAGCAGAAAAGGCTGGAAGTGGCGCTGGGGCTCAAGTGGAAGAGCACTAGCCTTGAGCTGAAGAGCTGAGGGACAGTGCCCAGGCCCAGAGTTCAGACCCCACGACCGACAAAAAAAAAAAAGAAAATAGTTGATTGTTTTACCCTGGATTGTGATGGAAGACTACGGTATTTTAAAATAATAATGAGAAATGTTTTTAAAGGATTGCCATATGAACTTCAGGACTATGTTGAAGATACATCGGAATACTTACCTCCTAAAGAAGGAAATTTTGTCTATAAGTTATTTAGCCTGCAAGACCTGTTGTTACTTGTACGTTGCAGTATCCAGAAGATAGAGACAAGACCACGTTCTAAAAAAAGAAAGAAAATCAGAAGAGTAAGTTGTTACCTCGGGGGTTGTGTATTAACTATAAATAGATAATATTTAATATGTCAAATATTAGTTGTAATTTTAATTTCTTCACTCTTAAGCGTATTCTAGGCTGAATTTTTTTATTAAAATACTGAGATCAATTTTAATAAGAGCATAGTAGTGATAAATGTAGTAACCTATGGACTGTATAAACTGTATGGAAAACTGTGCTGTCATAGATTTGACCAACACAGATATATTCCTGTTTCTTCCATGAATTCAGGTTTCCATTCTGAGATTGATCCTCTGATTTAAAGGCTTGTAATATGTCTGCTAATTTTCCTACCTCATCTGTATTTAATTGGGGTTAATTTAGGAACTATAATATTGAACATTCTTAATATATGTAGTATTGATTATATACTATATAGATTGTGTTTTCAATGTTTTGTTTCTTATTTGCTTTCTCTCTCATTTATTTGAAGACTAGTCTTGTTTTTTTCACTTCCCACCCTGTGATTCCGTATCACGTTGTATTTTCCTTTTAACCTACCTACAGCATTTAGCTATTGTCAATGGTCAGTATCTCCTAAGTAAGAATAACCTAAGGAAATTTTGGATACTGGTTTAATTCTTGACCAAGACAACGTAGTAAGGACATTATCATTCACTTGTCCAAAGTGAAGTTAGTAAATATCAAGATATAATAGTATAAGAGAACATCCATTCTTCACCAAAAAATGTGTCTAAATAGAAGTCTTATACTTCTGATTTTATCAGTGACAGTAATATTCCAGTAGATGTTTCCTGTCTTGCAACTGTCATTGTTTGTAGTGATTTAAGGTCTGGGGTAGAATTATGTTCTGTTCACCTGTCCTCTCAAATGTTTTATACCAAATAGGTCCTGAATAAATGAAAAAAACTGAGAGTCGCTCCTCAGGAGTATTTTAAGGGATGGAACTTGAGGGGCTGACAACTAGTCTGACAATATTTTTAAGCTTAATTTTTTTTTTTAATGCTGCTGTTTAAGTAGAAATGCAACTGGGGCTGGGAATATGGCTTAGTGGTAGAGTGCTTGCCTAACATGCATGAAGCCCTGGGTTTAATTCCTCAGTACCAGATAAACAGAAAAGGCCAGAAGTGGCACTTTGGCTCATTTGGTAGACTGCTAGCCTTGAGCAAAAGAAGCTCAGGGACAGCACCCAGGCCCTGAATTAAAGCCCCAGGACTTGGGCTGGGAAGTTGGCTCAGTGGTAGAGCGCTTGCCTTGCATGCCTGAGGCCCTGGGTTCGGTTCCTCAGCACCACATAAGCAAAAAGAAAAATGCCGGAAGTGGCGCTGTGGCTCAAGTGGTAGAGTGCTAGCCTTGAGCTGAAGAGCTGAGGGACAGCGCCCCGGCCCAGAGTTCAGGCCCCACAACCGGACCCAAAAAAAAAAGCCCCAGGACTGCCCCCCCCAAAAAAAGTAGAAATGCAACCTTATTCATATTCCCTATCTAAACATTAGCTTCTTACATAAAGCTTTAAGATTCTTAGAAATTTCTTTGATTTCCTAGGTTGAACTTTCATCTCCCCTTTGTTTCCCTTTGGCACTTCAATTCTATATTACTGAAGTAAAGATTTTCGTTCTCAGGGTAATTATACTTCCTCATCAAATCTGTACTCAGTGAATCAGAGCTACATTTCTGAGACTTTAAAACAGAAAGCACTGCTAGATGCTGGTAGCTCATTCCTGTATTCCTGGCTACTCAGGAGGCTGAGATCTGACGATTTCAGTTCAAAGCCAGCCAGGGCAGGAAAGTCCATGCAACTCATCTCCAATTAACCACCAGAAAACCAGAAGTGGTACTGTGGCTTAAGCGGAAGAGTGCTCGACTTGAGCTGAAAGAGCTCAGGGACAGCGCCCAGGCCTAGAGTTCAACCCTCATGACCCACCAAATAAACAAAACAAACAAACGAAAAAAACAGAAAGCACTTTCAAATGATGGAATGAAATAAGAGGCTCTTTTGGACCACAGATCAAGCTGCAATTTATGAGTTCTGTGTATAATTATGAAAGCCAGATAACGTTGAATGATTAGGTCTTACGTGTCACCATTAACCACATACCCTATGTTTTTAAAAGTTTTGACCCAGTTTTATTTAAAACTTACATTCATATTCTAGGACCAGAATAAAGGTTCTTGAAGGTGCTAGCTATTCTAGCTGTGAAATTCTTCTTTCAGGGTATAGGTAAAGGTAGAGGAGTTTATGTGAAGGATGGCAGACAGACCAAAGAGTGTTGCTTTGGGAGGATTGGGCCCCTATCAAGGAGACAAGGAAATAGTAAACGTATTTATTTATTTATTTGCCAGTCCTGGCGTGAACTCAGGGCCTGGCCGCTGGCCCTGAGCTTTGGCTCAAGACTAGCACTCTACCACTTGAGCCACAGCACCACTTCCAGCCTTTACTGTGTGTGTAGTATTGAGGATTTGAACCCAGGGCTTTATGCATGCTAGGAGAGCATTCTACCACTAAGCCACATTCCCAGCCAGTAAATTTAATCTTTATATGAGAAAAAACTTCCAAGTGCTAAACAAAGATAAAATATTCAGGCTTTTCTCCTGGCTTCCTGGAGATGGCAGTAGAAGACATATAGAACTTAAAACCAGATTTAGGACTTTAGTTTTACAGATAAGAGTAGTAATTTTATCAAAGAAAGTTCTCCAGAATATGCACATAGTGTGCTTTTTAGAAATTACACATATGTATGTGTACATATATGTATATATACTTAGGCATGTATGCAATATATATTTTTAGGATATATTTCAAACTTTAAAAATATACCGATAAAGAGGGAATTTTTTTTTAATTATCTGTAAGTAGTTTTACAGTTTACCAGTACACTGCTTACATCTTACCAGTGTTACCTTCATCATTGTCACCAACTATCCCAACCGTACCAATTTTCTTTTCCAATTCTGTTATAAATCAGATATGTCCTTAATTGAATTTCTTAACCCTCTCAGTCTTTAGTTCTCTTATCTCTAGCTTCTGTTTATTCTAAAATGATAGGAAACAAAATCACATGCAGATTACCATTTGTCAAATAATCAGTATACAATAAATTTATTTTAACAATATTCCTAAGCATAATGTTGCTTTTTTTTGAAAAGACACTTTAGGGGTCTTCCTGTTCTAAGTATGATCCCTATAATAAATGTAAAACTTTGGGCACTGCCTACTTAACCAGTGTATTCATCTTCATATTGACAGTAAAATGACAAAACTCAAAGATAATTATATGAGCTATACTTTTCATGTACTGATAATAGAAACTTCACATGATTTGAGTTTTCACCACTGTACCAAGGCTAAGTTATATCACCCTCTTGAAAGTCAGGAATTCAGAAACATTGAAGAAATATTTTCACATCTGTTCATGTGTTATTTGTGGTTACCTAAAGTATCGGGTAGCCTTTTAAAAGGGCTAACATATCACTTTGAGTAAGCTCTTTAAACTGTGTGTTTCTTCTGACTCAAAATAGAGTCTTGTTAAGAATAGAATTGGGGGCTAGGGTGTGTTCAGTGATAGAGTGCTTACATAGCACACTTAAAACCCTAGGTCCAGGGGCTGGGAAGGTGGCTCAGTGGAAGAGTGCTTGCCTTGCATGCCTGAGGCCCTGGGTTCGATTCCTCAGCACCACATAAGCAAAAAGAAA